AGAAAATTTAAACATATTCTAGCTGAGAACAGGCCTAAAGACTTAAACTATGACTAAGCTCTATTTATTTAATTAATCAGTCATTGGTCTTGAATCAATCATATTAAACTACTTATTACTAAAATTGATTGATGGCCCACTAGTAACAAATACAGAATCCGGATTAAATTGGTTAGCACAAAGCAATCTAAATAGTTAACTGTTATCATTCTTTAAATGGTATAACTGATTACAACAATTTCATCTGTCAAATTTACCAATCATCCATTATTTCTATATCACCATTGATTCACTTCTTGACAACCCAAGAAGTTTTAGAAATAGCAAAATCACAAAGAAGAAGGAATTTTCTATGCACCAGTTTCTTTGAGTATCATTACCTAAATATACCATCTAAAACTGTTTATTGATTAAAAAGAATCCTTTCAGAAGAATATTTAAGAATGAACCCCAGGAATGGAAAGAAATCAGGTTAGAATTCCATAAAACATGCCAAGCAATATGCTGAGAAGTTCAAAAATTGCTGCACTAGCAGAAAATTCATACCACATCTAGATAAATATACTGCATGGAGAATGGGATTTTGATAGAGATTGCATTGAATATATATATATATATATATATATATATATTGCTTTTTTAGAGTTGGAGATATAGTTCAGTGGTCACACATTTGTCTAACATGCATGACCTCCTGGGTTCAATACCCAATGTTACAGAGAAGTGCCTTTTAAACTTGGCGTAGTGGCACATGCCTTTTATCCAAGCTCTTGGGAGGCAGAAGTAGGCAGGTCTCTGTGAGACAGAGGACAGTCTGGTCTACATAGGGAGTTTCAAGACAGCGGAAGTTACATGGAAACCCTGTCTCAAAACAAAGTAAAATAAACAAACAAAAAATGTCTTTTAAATGAGCAACTTATGGACAGTGTATCAAGTACAATTAGAATAAAGTCAATCCCCAAAGTCAATTTTAGCACACAGCATATGTTATAATACATTATTTTGAACAAGACACAGGTTATTAACTCACGAGTAGAGCAGGCATGTTCTATAATTTTGAGCAACATGAACTTCCATACACAGTTGTCTATTGTTCATGGAGATGCCATTTTCCAGACAAAATGAAAAATCTAACAATCTTTGGTAAAGCTGAGTCTGGTTGGTTATTACGCTGATTTGCTCAAGTGAATGGGCTGACCTACTAAACCTGGGATTTTAAAAATCATTGCACACAAAAGAACACTGTCTCTGTCACAAAACTCCAAACAGAGACACACAAGATCCAGTGTGTTCTGCTGTGACTCGTCTTCTCTATAGAAGTACCTGAGATTAATGATGAAGACCAGGATTAAACGGAGGGGGTGGTGGCTGAGAAATGCACGTGCCTAAACAGCATGAATCCCACAGCCTGGGCCAGCCTGCCCTGTGCCAGCACTTCCTTAGATCTTTGGTGAAAGGTAATAAAGGTCTATCTCAGGGCTTACTGTTGTTTATGTAGGACAGCATGTTGAAATTAGTTGTTATAAAATATTTTATGCTATTAATTTCAGTTGTACTTTCTATTTTAGTTTGTAAACCAAGTATTTTTCAAATTCAGACAAATGTTCAAATAAGACACTCATTCCTTTCAAAATGTCTGTAGATTGTAAAGTAGATAGTAAAAGTGAAGAAAAAATTTGAAGGTATTTTTTAGCCACATCCCAGCCTTTACAGAGATGGACTTCTTGTCACTGGGGAAAAAAGGAAATTGAGGCATCTGCTTTGGTTTTGAGGTATTTTGAAAGACAGGTATTATATAATATTTCAGTAGTAATAAAGTGAAATAATGACAAATTTAGCAAACATTTCCTTTTTAAGCAAATTATGACATTTTAGAGTATCCATAGATTATAAAAAATACAGTAATAATCATGTATTTAGCACCACTCCACAAACAAGTGAATGATCAGTAATATGTGAATAACTCAGAGCTCCAACTATCCAAATTACTGCATCTGACAGGATCTTTCATGCTCAGTCATGTGTTGGCTAACTCCCAATAAGAATGCCATTTTTTTCTTTATAAATCTAGACTAATATGTAACAAAAATAAAGTTAGAGCAAGACAAGATGTCTCACAGACAGATGTCTCAGGGCACAGGTGGAAATTCAAGTTGACAACACTTGAACACACTAACAAGAGAAACACTAGAAAGTTCTGAAGGCTGTTTCTTTTTAAGGAAATAAAAAAAAAAAAAAAACTCATCCTAAAAAACAGAGGAATCCTGGCTGACTTGTCACCTTGATTTCCGAGAGAAGATTATAAAGCAGGATACAATTTATCATTGTTTAGCTTGTAAAATGCACTCAACAACCAATATTAAAATGATATTAAATAGCAATATTTACTAAAAATAATTTAGGAATTAAACCCCTGTAAAGTTGGCAATATCTGCAAATCAAGACCTCTTCTACTTGATAAAGGTTTAACCTCAGAGATTCTCTATAGCCTATATTATTTAGATTTAAATTAGGCTACATGATTTAAAAATGATTTGCTTATCAAGTCTGTAGTTATATTTGGTCGACTGGAAAATGGTAGGTATTATCTAATATATAAAATGCTGCGGTTAAATCTATGGAAAAGTCTGAAATCCAATACATCTTGTAACCAATTTTTTTTAGTTTCAAGGTTTATTGCATGCATTTAAAATAGTATTATCAAAAGTTTGCATGAAATGCATCACATTTTATTTTGCACATACTTTCTCCAGGTTCACATGATTTTCTTATCTACTTTTGCTACTCCAAATCCAGAATCATCTTGCCTATCACTAATCTTTTATGACTGAGATCACTGAAGTGGTGCCAGAACTCAGTCATGACATTCAGTCTAATGTAGCAATGAGCTTATCTCATTGCTGGAATGTGGACCATTTAAACCAAAGCACTTCATCGAAAGGATGAGATGTTCACCTAAAACGCCCTATTGTAAATATTTCTCACGCATTAAATATTGCAGATAAAAAGTGTCCAAGTGTGCTTTCCAGTGCAGATTATAAGTTAATACACAATTATTTTGTGTCTCTTTTAACTGAGGAAAAGAGTTTTATGTGCCTGTTGCATAAGCGAAGCAAACAAAAATCCTTTCATAATAAAAACGGTAAAGCACCATCATTTAAATAAACAACTACAAATAAATTTTACTTTTTCTGAAATTTCTACATCTTAAAAATGAAACTGGCTTTAAAATGTCAAAAAAGAATGTAGAAAATAGTGGAACATTTTCAAGCTATTCTTGACAAATGCAACAAAAATTTAGAAACTTTAAAAAAAACTACAATTATAGATATTGTTTTTTAAAAAACATTAACTCAACTAATTCTCCCTAAAAGACTCCATCATAGAAAAACTCAGGTAACAACCCACCAGCATAGCAAATGAAAGTGAATTTTTCAACTATTACAACAAAGAATATGGCTTAGATTTCTCTATATGCTTATGCATTTATAACTCAACTCAAAAATATTTTTCAATAGTCAAGTATACATTTAAGAGCCTTTGAAATTAAAAACCAATATATATCTATGTGTGTACTCAAGAGTTCTTCATTTGAAGGCATTTGTGCTGTTATGGTCTCTAAGAGCAACAGCAAAAATATCTACAATTTTTCTCAAACTATTTCTCAGCAAATTTAGAGGAATACCCTACCAGTTTCAAATACTTAGTAAAATAATTGATACCAAATGGAGATAAAATAGAATGAAAGCTAAAATTAAATGGAAGACAGACCAAAAATAAAATGATTTTTAGGTGAGAATTGGCTAATCGATCTAATCCTATATTAGACCTGAAATTTAAATGATTCATTTAATAAAAATTAAAATATCTAACTATATTAATTTATTGTTATTAAATATGAAGGTTATATTAAATAATTATTCAGCTGTGAACTCATATAAAATATGAACTTATCCAAGTAAAGTTCTACAAATAGGCATTTATAATTTCCATGACTTTTGGTGTTGACCTAATATAAAATGTTCAAATATGCTATCCTCTAATTCAATAAATAGCAAGGTGTATACAATGCCATCATCACAATGCAAAAAAGTCACATTTATAAAATTGTACATTGTACATAAACATATAGAAAAAAGTCACATTTATAAAATTGTACATTGTACATAAACATATAGATTGAGCTGAAGGGAATATTATTCTTTAAATTTAAATTGATGTCACTTTGTTTTACAATCCAAATTAACAACATTCTATATTTTGTTAATGGAAAATAGACGTATGTATATGATAAGGATACCAGTTAAGACACTTTTAAATCAGGTTTCTACTAAAGGATAATTCATTTGATTATAATTAATATATTCAAAGAGAAAATGCAGCTATTGACTAAGATAAAAGTTATACTATAAATTACTGTAACTAATATAAAAGGTAAAAATATTTGAAAAAAGCAGAAAAATATTCCTTTAACTATAGCAGAGCAACTGAGATTCTATTGTTTTACTTTTAATTTCTTTGCCACTTGCTTATTTTTAATATTAAGATACTGCTGAAAATAGCTACATAAAATCTAAAATTGTTAATATCTAGCTCCTAGAATATTTCATTGTAAGTTGAGAAAAACCTTACTGTATAAAAGCACATATTAACATGGCAAAATTCAGTAATACTAAAACTAACAATGTTCCAAAAAGTCTATGTACTGTTGAGTCAGTTTCTCTCATGAGAAGTTTTCCATTATATTAAGGACAGCAATTAATCACAATTATTTAATTATTTGGCCATGTTTGCATACCAAACATTTCTAAGAAAAGACTGGTTAAAAATATCAAGGTGTCACATAGTTTTTAAAGTTATGTAACAGATGTCAACTTAAAAAAAAATCACAATATTGTAACATGCAAAAATAATTCCCTCTTAAGAAAGTATTATGCTTAATTATGTGCACGAAACTTCTAGAAAACTTCATTACTTACTGTTAACGGAGTATTACTTACTGAGATTAGCAGTTTCGAGAATTCATCTGTTATTTATCCCGAGGTGTTTTGAAAGTCCTTTCCTCACTGTATACGCCTCAGTGAGACGGTCAACCCTGCTCTGGTCTGCTGAGGGAAACAAAACAGAACAAAAATCTCCATGTCTTCTTTTGGATCATTCTTGTTCTAGTGTATTTTATGTGGCAACAGGCAAGAACTCCACGGTGACAAAAGCAGCAACGTGAGCAAGAAAACTGAATGCTTATTTCATATTTGCTGTATAAAGTCATTTTTGACATGCCTATACAACTGCTTGTGGCAGCTTTCAAACACGATTTCTAATTTAAAAAAAAAAAAAAAAAAATCGCTCCAGGTTCTTTAGAGAAAGCTTGCCGCTGGGAAGTTGATTTTGGCCAAATGCCAAAATCATGTGCAACGGGGCCTCATTAGGGATTCATGGCAACCTTCAGCACTCACAAAAAATGTGACCCAACAGGCTAAATCAGCGACTGAAATTAAAAAGTAAGAGACAAAGACAACTTACTTAATATTCCCTCCAAAGCAACATTAAACTTTTTTTTTGTAATTAAACCCTTGTTAGTCTAATGCACTGTCCCCGTTCTCAAATGATTGTACAATTACTCTTTAAAACTTGCCAATTGCACTTCTAAAGAACACTTTCTTTCTGTGTCAGTTTGCACAAATTTCGCTGTACAGTAAAACTATATTGCGACCAATTCAAAAGGAGAAAATGAAATCATAAAATACGCAACCTACAGTATTTTTAAGTTTTAAACAACCACCACCAACAAAAATAAGTAAACAATAGTCAATACATTTTCAACTTCTACAGAAGTGAGCACGCACCCTTTAAACTGGTATCGTTTGTATGAGCCAATTTCACTGCCACATTTTGCCCCCGAAGTAGATGTGATATGGCGCCTTACCGAGATGTCTTCTGGCTTTTCTGCAGGTCAAAAAGTTTCCTGCTTAAGCACACAGATATTCTTTCAGAAACCATAAAGGCCCTTTTATGAATTCCGCACTGTAACAGGCTGCTTTCCATAGCAGTTGAGAGCCCAGTGCTCAGCTCTCAAGATAAAATGCATGGCTAACACACAATCACTAGGAGAGGTTGTCTCCGGGAGAATTTATCTTAGAACGAAAGAAGCAAAAACGCAGCTTTTTTTTTTTTTAAATAGCAAGGAGGGTGCGGTCAGATGTTAGGTTTTTGCCTGAGAAAAGGGCCCTACACAGCACTAGGAACTACTAAATACTAGCAGAGCAGCCTGGGAAGGGAGCCAATGGAAGGACTTTGTTTGACCCAGCTGCCAATCTCCCCTGAAGCCGTGCGCCAGACTAAACACTCACACTATTTTAACTCAAATCAGGCTACAGCAGCTGTTTGCTTTCCGGCTCTGAGGAGCTCGGCACCCACATGGCCTGTGGAGTTCACCCGCGAGCTTTGCGAGCTGCCTGGCTGAAATCTGTTCCCGGATGGGACCCATCACTGGAGACAAAAAAATTAACCCTACCCCTCATGGTAGATGGAGACTGTTGTTCAGCTTCTGGATCTGGTCCCCGAAAGGCGATTTTTAAATCTTTTCAGTAAGAGCGATGTTTGACATCTTGGGAGAGATTTGGGATTTGCACATAGGACACCTACATGTCTTTTAAATTCTTCAAATGTGTTCCAATTAATACTAAAATAGCCATGTATGTAGAAATAACACTCCTATACTACAATTCTAAGAATAAAGATGGTGACCAGTCATGCCAACCCAACACCTTCCATCCTGGAGAGCTGACATTCTAGAACCTAAGACCTCATTCTAGAATGTCTCCTCAATGTTATCATCCAGTTCTGTAAAGTTCCTCCAGAAGCAACAGTGATGTATACACGTTTATTGCCTTCTATGAAAAATAGGTTAAATGACCCTATTCATTTTCCAACTATTTCTAATTTTATTTAGTTGCAAGTCCATGTGCAGAAATCACATTGTAAGGGATGGAGAGATGACTCAGTGGCTAAGAGCACTGGCTGTTCTTCTAGCAGATCCACATGGCAGTAAACAATTATTCATAATACCAGCTACCAGGGATCTAACGCCCTCTTCTGGCTTCCATCAGTATTGCATGCATGAGTGCAATTACACACATGTAGGTAAGCATTCATACACATAAATTTAAAAACAATTTTTAAAGAAATCACATTATGAGTTATAAAACATTGCAATGTGTTCATTGGTAGCATGTAGTAAAAGGAAAGTAGGAAGAAGTTTGTCAGAGGCAGTCTAATTTATGTAATATTCAAAATTATAGTTGTAACAGGAGGAAGAGATTTGATAATTATGATCAATTATACAACACATAGAAGCCAAACATGGGGCATGTGGGAAAATTAGTAAGTCGTTCATCGTGTGGAAGAGTGGAAGAAGTCACAAGGAGAGCAAGAACAGGAACTGCAAGTATTTTTACTTCTGACCAACTTATTGGGAAATCACAGTGAGGAAGGCCAGCATCCTTTTATTTATGGACTTATTTATTTTATTTATGGTCTTAAGGTTTCATCAGGCAGTAAAAGACTTAATTTTTTATTTTTACATAAATAACTTTAATCTGGCTGGGATGAGCAAGAATAAAATATTTCTGAAATATTCTGAAAGCGTTCCCATGAATTTTTTTGCAGCTTTGCAACTCTGATTTTTTTTTTTTGCCACATGTTTCTTTCTAATGAATTGATCATTACATTTCCAACTTTCTGAAATGGCCAACAACCATAGAAAGACATTTCTTTAGGCACCTGCTTGAAACCAACAGCTCCAAACAACTGTTAGCGATATTTCAGGGCTGAAGCTCTGAGTATTTTGCTTTGCTTCTACTTTCGTACCAAGTGAGTCATGTTTTTGTAGTGTGTGTGTGTGTGTGTGTGTGTGTGTGTGTGTGTGTGTGTGTATTTATGTGTGTATATGATATGGTGTGTACATGCTCATCTGTGTGTGTGTGTGTGTGTGTGTGTGTGTGTACATGTGGAGGCCAGAAGTCAACATTGGGTATCTTCTTCAATCATCAGCTACCTTATGTTTTTTCTTTTTTCAAATACATGTTTTATTGAAATTTTGTGTTGTTTCATACAGAACATCTCTATCAATCATGTTTATACCCAAGTCCCCACCAGCACCATCCCACAGCTCCCTTACTGGAGCCCATACACTTTATCATCCCTGTTAAGGCCCACTATGTCAAGTCAATGTCCTCCATGTAAATACATCCACTGATAGCCACCTTATTTTTAAAGAGGAAGTCTCTCACTGTGCTGGAGCTTACCTGTTTGGGTCAATTAGTTAGCCAATGAGTCCCTGGGATCATCCTGTCACTGCCTCCCCAGAACCTGGGCTGTATTTTGCCTAGCTTCTTATCTAGGTGCTAGGGATCTAAATACAGATCCTCATGCTTGTGTGTAGCCAACATTTGATTGATTGAACAGTCTTCCCAGCATAAAATGATTAATTTAATAGACAATGCTATTCATTCATATCAGAGGTAGCAAATATGCTGACAGTTCATGAATTAACAGAGTTGTATGGATACAGTTAAACTGAATGATCAAAGTCTTAAAAATGCATGTCATGATGAAGTTGCATAGCACATGTGTTATTCACCTTATTCTGAATGTGATACATGAGTAAATCCACAAGGTTCCTATTGGAGCTGGCTTCATATGTATTTGCGTATGATTTAATGCTCACAGTTTTCATGGAATTAAAGGAAAAGCTGAAGAATGGCTTCTCTTGCGCTTTTTCTGCAACTTAAGAAAATATTAAACTTACTTCTCTAAATGTTCATCAATGATATCTTGAATAATCACCGTTATCACCACTGTTTGTCCTTGTGTATATGCAGTACCCGTGGAACTTTATATTACCTTAGTATTGACTTCCTTTGCACTGCTTTTCTGTCACAAGTATCATGGAATGAATGTCATATGTTAAATTTGTTTCTCCCAGCACCTCAAAGTATGACATATGGAGAAAGAGGTTTTGCAAATGATAATTACTTAAAGAGGACATTATGGTGGCTGATAATTCAAAATGATTGGTATCTTTCATACAAAGACAAGATCAAAATACAAAAATACCTAGAGGCCTGACTATGTACCAACCGAGAGAGCAGTGCCCATAAGGAAGATCAGAAGACACCAATCCTGTCTTGTGATAATAGATGCCATGCTTCCAGAAGATGGAAAAAAAAAATTGTTTTAGCTTCCTGGACTGTAGTAAAACAAACAAACAAACAAACAAAAGCCATAGTATTCAGGAACATGAAAGATGAAATTGTTTTATTTGAGCACATTCATTTCTACACTCGAGTACTTGATTCTGTATAAGAGATATAATGCAATGCTGAGAATTAAGGAAAATGGAGTAGTTACCATTTCTCTTTGATAGCTGTATTTTTACATTTTGAATTGGAACATTGTTTTAAATTTCCTAGTCAATAGTAAAATGAGATTTTCTAATAATTATGAGTTTAACTTCCTCTTTAGAATAATCAAAAAATGAAACTTTTGAGTCTGCAAGACATTTTTTGATATACACATTTTACAATCAAGATGTATTAGATAAGAAGTTTGTATACATAAAGATTTCTAAACAACAAAAATTTAGTCTTTATAAAAGGATTTCAATAACTACAAAAAGCAGAAACTATAAAAGAAGGAATCAAAGAAATGTGAGTATCCTGGAAGCCAGCATAAAAAAACAGAAGGAATCTGCTGAGACACAGTAAACAGAAAGTACAGGGTCAACAAGAAGACACTCCTCTACAGACAATCCTAATGAATGGACAGACATTCACAGAGTTGTCAAAAGTGAAATAGTTGTAAGAAATGTACTTCAGTAAGAATATTTAGCTGTTTGGGGGTAGGCAGGATTCTAGGATGGACCATAAAATTATGTTCCCACCAACTGGTGTAACTTCCTATCTTCCCCAAGAGGCTAGATAAAACCTGGAGGTTTTGGAAAATGCTTGTGGTAATGGTCAATGAGATTTCCACAACTGTATGGTCTTAAACACCTAAAAGGAAAGTATAATCAAAGAGTAAAGTCATCAGTATACTTCTTTGAGAG